GGGACATTCCACTGCGGCCCATCCAGGGGAGGATTGGACCCGCCGGGGGGTTCTTCCCTCGCTGCCTGGCCCAACCTAACATCGCGTGTGATGAGTGGATGACATTTAACGGCAGAGCCTTGAAGCTGATGAAAACGACATGATGTGAATATTTACAGTATACGTTGTAAGACTGCAGTTAAGTGCTCTGCATTGGGCTTTACTCACGTTCAATACGTTTTAACATCAGTTAATGTAAATACTTCATCAACAAGTGATTTTTTTCGTCATTATTGCAACGTACCTCTATGGCCTTTCACAATGTGGCCGGTAGAATTACAAGCGATTGTCTTTGAATGCACGTGTCACGTATGTTTGTGAATGCACACGCATGGGACACACATGCGTGTGAGCAGCCTGAAGCTGAGCCGGTGGGCGCCGCAGGGGCAGAGGACCCAGGAATGCGTCCGCACTAATCCCGGTGAGGGACAGAAGGTGTTTTAGCAGATCTCCTCAGGTCCGCATGAGTGGCCCCCGGAGTCCGATTCCCCCACGAAACTCCGGAACTGGACAAAGGGAGGCAGGCGCCTGTTTGGTTAGCGCCAGACTTTCACACGGACGAGAGGAACTCAAACTCTCTGTGCTAAAGGGCTGCGGCCCTTCCTCTCCGGATGGCATGCAAAGACATCACAAAACATCAACAGCAGAATGCCAAACCACGCGGAAGAGGGCTGTATGTTCCTGCTGGGGGGCACAAGTTTAAAGTAAAAATTTAACAACTTTACATTCAGGTAAGTCCAACTAAGAGATTCTCATTCATTGTAAAACTCAGAAACTAAACTAAATAATACTTTTATTTAAATATTTAAAAATTACGCGAAAAGACATTTAAGCTGTTCAAGGACAAAAACACTATCCCTCGATAACATAGAGGTAACACAAGTTCTCACAAGTCTGATTTGTTCCTGATTTTCTTCCATCGATGCCAATAGAGTCAAATCTTTGAATCCAAAATTACAATTTAAAGTATGTGTTTTATTCTTATTAAGTGATATAACTTAGAATATATAATTCTAATGTTATAAGGGACTTTTGAGACTAAATGTCTGTTCAATGAAGTGACCGGCGTCCATCCATCTTACATTTTGTACTGCTGATCTTTTAAATTTCTCTGAAGCAGTGAGAATATTTAATTAGCCTCATTGAATAGGAAGGTGGTATTCGTGACTCCTGGCGTGAGGAGCTGATGGGAACCGCGTGTCGAAGGGGTCGGAGCAGCGCAGCGTGTGCTAAACCAGGAGGACTGCTGACTCACCACCTCCTCTGTTGGCTTTGTGCTCATTCAACAATCTCTTCATCCCCGGTGACAGAATGTAGCCTCGGGCCCTGAACTCCTCTCACAATGCTCTGAAAATCCTTCTCCCAGCAACAGGGCCTGGAACCCTTATGGACACCACTAGTCCTGATCCCGATCCGCCATCTCTCAAATATCACATTAGAGTTGAACACTTCTCCGATAATTGACAATTAAGCATTACTTAAATGTACAATCTGTAGAAGTGGATGGAATTACATCTAAAATCAGTCTGTACATCTAACTTCAAAATATAGTCGGTTACCTACTTTGTTTCTTTCGTTGTTGAACTTAAACACATTTCATGGTATTATAGCTTCTAATTTACCCAATACCATTTCAGTACCAAAATCTCCTCATACTGATCCTTCATAGTTCAATTTGACTACGCTTCACCTCTTCTCTCAGTTATTGCTTTTATTTTTCAAATGTATTCACTTATGCAAACAATTTCAGTGTATCAACCATCCAGCAAACCAAAAAGCAAACAACCAACCAAAACTGCTCTGGTTCTTAGTAAACCACCAACGGAACACATGGCATATGCAAGCAAAACAATCTACATCAGTGGATCAAACAAGAACATCAGTCTGCACACAACCTAAGCTGTTCAAATGGAAATCATTTCTGCATTTAGGGTGCTTTGTTCCCAAACAACAATTCTGAAAAGTAAATATCTTATATCATCATCGGCCACTCATGATGTACCAGCTTCTAATTGTCCGAAGGCCCAAAATGGGTCACGGGCCTGTTTCTGAGTTTAGCATCTGATGCGAGCTACAGCGACTGTGACTGCGACACGGAGGAGCTCAGTCACCGCGGTTGCTGTGATTCGGCTCAACACGTGCACGGACTCGTCCAAAAGGTAATCACGGCGTGGGCTGCACTGCCCTGCTACGCCTTGCTCTGCTTTACGCCTGTGAATGCTGCGAAGCTGCATTTCCCACACCTGCCCGAGGCGTACCCTGTTTGTCTCTGTACTCCGAAAGAGAGACACTGGGAAAGTGAGGCATACACGGGGAAGAATGGGGAAGAAAAGGGAAGATAGGGGAAGAAAGTGACGGGGAGAGAAAGAGAAATGAGGACAGACGTTGGGAAAATGTCGTTGAAAGGAGAAGGAGTCGGAGGCCTGCATACCAGAGGGAGCAAACAACGCAACCCGCCTCGTCACACACGTTCTCGTTAAGACTTTACGATCTCCGGAGGGAGAAAAACAGACACAGATGATCGGATGTTCTCTGCTGGGGGGGGGGGTGGGGGGTGCACATGCCACTGCCTGCACCTGTGTGTTAACTGACTCCACATTTCAGGGTGTATCATGAAATGAGATCTGACTACGTTGGTTCCTGGACGACAATATGTAAAAACACAGTGCTGCCTTTATTTACTACTACTCACATAGTTCACGGGTTGCTTATAATGACTTGCATGAGTTTACACTCCAAACAGCCTTCAGGCACAAAGGGAGGCTTTCATTTACCTCTACAATGACGTCATCATCGGTGACATACATGGAACGAGCAATGATGTAGTAAAACAACGGGTTTGCTCCAGAATGAAACATCATAACTTAAAATGAAGTGCTTTGAGAAAGAAATGGAGATACACACGGCATGAGTGGGTAATCGCTCGCTTGTGCAACCGAAAACAGGAGGCATTTCCTTCTCCCTCTGCACGGGCCCCCACGAGGGGGAGAGGGGAGAACGAGGGCCGTCTAGGGACAGCTGAATACCCGAGGAGCTGACGGGTATGTGTACATATTGGAATGTGCTTCTCAGCCACACCTGTGGGCAACACACCCGCCAAGCCCAGCCTCCCTCATCCCACTGGCTGATCTCCGCGTGATTGGCAGCTGAAAGAACTATTTGGCTCCAGTCCACCAGAGCCGGGGGGCAGGTATGGAGGGTTCTGAGCGTGAACCAATGGCAGCAGAGAAATCCCTGCGAGCCAGGCGGGGCGGCAGTGAAATAAAACTCATCAATGGGGTGTGTCTCAAACGTTCGTCAGCAGTCAAAGAGTGAAGGGCCACAGCCGCGGGAAGCCCACTGGTCCCTCGCCGCGTGAGGATGCGAGCGGCTTCAGCTGGCAGGGATGGTCGAAAAAGAGACAGGTATTCCTCTCCTGCCAGCGAACGATGGAAGAAAGAAAAACAGATCTCGTCTGCTGCGACCGGGACCTCGAGGGAAAACGGACGGGAGTTTCACGCCGTCCACGATCGGGGACTTTTTTAAACCTTTCGGGACTTTGGCCCCCGAGAAATTGGATCATCACAATTTGCTAAAGAGTGTTAGAATTGTTGTGGCACTTTGGTCGCCCACATCTCCTTATCACTTTTCCAGCCCAGCTATAGATTATGTTTCCGTTGGACGGAGAACTGATAAGGGCATGTGCATGACATTACCTACAGACACTGCAGACACAGCATCTGAGACAGATGGTAATTCTGTCACTCAATTTATATTTGTTAATCCTGTCGACCGCTTTTATTAGTTTTCGTGCTTCGGTTGTTTGCTTTTGCTACTAATTCATTTTGTGAGGGAATTGCATATATTGTAAAGAAAATTACGGATGTATGTGACTTTGTGAGTGACTAACAATAACATTTCTGCTGCATTGTCATCTTATGATTTGTAAATAATGCAATGATTTTGTCCTTTTTAGATCATTTAGTGATGGGTACATTGGGTTGAGCTTTACATCCATGGACTGGAAGCAGTAAAACCTTTTCCTCTCCGGTAAAATGAGAGGCAGCGAAATATCAACATGGATTCCCCTCAGGCAGCTACGAGCACATCTGGTTCAAGGCCAAGTTTCCCCCGAAAATATGAGGGAAAGCAATCATCTTTGCCAGGTGCGGCATTACTGAAGACTGTGTTCTTCTCTAAAAACGTATATGAAAGTGTTTTGACATAATCAGTATGATCCGTAAAAATGAAATACCGGTATTGTGCACGCACAGTTCATGTGTCCAGGGGGTTAAGAAGCAGAAAATCAGTTATCCTGATATTACATATAGAAACCAGCTAGGTAAAAGTTCATTTTGAGACCCTGACATGATACAGCATGACTTAATCATGATGATGCAACAGGCGAAGTACTTTATGATGCATAGCAACATTCTGGTACCATTGCCACACCTACAAATGTCAGCGTCACCGCTGAGATGTTCAGGAAAAACCTTGTTACTTTATTATAAAAATCTATCAGAGATCAAAAATGTATTTTTCTTTCAAACTCCTGAAACAACTGCATTCACTCTTTTCGCCATCATTCTGCCTTAAACATACTTTAGAATGTAAGTTTTTGCAACCGCTATTGAACAACAGAGAAAAGTAATAATCTTCATTGCAAAAAGTTATCACACTGCTGATGGTTCCCAGTTGTACACTTTATTTGGATAAGAAATGCTAACAGTTCAATTTTCACATCAAAACAATGAAAGCAACAAACCTTGACACGACAAACGGCTTCCGAACGCACACACACACACGCGGGCACACACACACACACACACACACACACACACACACACACACGCGGGCACACACACACACACACACACACACACACACACACACACACACACACACACACACACACACACACACACACACACACACACACACACACACACAGCAGGTCACTCCGTAAGCTGACGAGTCCTCTGGATCAACTGGCTGCTTCCTAACAGCAGTCCTCCGAGGTGTCCACTCCCTCTCAACCTGGTGGAGGATCCTCTCCCTTCTGGAGGGCAACAATCTTTTTGCCTCGGAGCCTTCATGCAGCACTTCAACGATACGGATATAGTACGGTTATAATACCCTTCAAACTGTACGCAAATAGGCTGTCTTCTAGCTTTCCCTGTAATTCTCAAGAAAACTGCTTAACGTGATTTTTTAATGATGCAATAAATTTGATGATAAAAAGTACTATACGATGATCGTATTGTATGTTGACGTACAAGCAGTTTGAAGTCTTAAAATTCCTTCGGGAAAGTAGACATTTTAGTATTCCGAATGAATGAAATTAAAATGTTCAAAAAGCAACTGCTCATTTATATAACGCCTCTATACTTGACTGGACAAAGCCCTTTAACATTGGCCACCCAGCCACACACTGCTGGTAGTGGAGCTGCCGTGCAAGGTGCTGGCCTGCTCTTCAGGAGGAAGGAATCAAACAATCGGCCTTGTTATTAAAAGGAGCCAGGGTGGTCGATTCAAAAGTGAGCATTGCCTCTTTTTGATCGAGACATAGCAGCATATAACACAGATATAAGCTAGGAGAAATAATGCATGATATAAAGATGAAGCAAAAGGTTTACGTTTCAATATTCACACAACTCAATGGAGTTTGAGATTAAATAGTGCAAAACTTTGGTAGCAAATCTTTCAGACCCAAATGATTGGTTCATGGTTCATGATTAATGCAATGCCCCTTCCTATTATATAATAAAAACACAGTTTAACAGAAGGAGCAGGTTGTTTAAGCTAGGCCGACCATGGAAGCACTGATGTCCCACAGCTTCTTGGCTGCAGCATCATCCAGGGCCTGTGGTGCCGGCTTTTTGGGCGCGCAGTCACTGCATGGGGAGATGAAATAGGGAGTGGAGATCAATGAGAGTCTGATATTATAAAGTGATCGACCACACTCGCTAATAGCCATGAATTATGGTTTAGTTGGCATTATCTGCAATTGTTCAACTGGTGGAGGAACGGTCATGCGCTTGCCTGTAGTAGAGGCCACTGGAGTTTGCCTGGCTCTCGTCCACGGCGCAGTAGATGCTGGTCTGGGCTCCAGCAGAGGGACTTTTGATCAGGAAGAGGAAAGGCTTGAGAATCACCCTCTGCCACAGAGCTAAAGTAGGGAGCAAGTGGCGGCCTAACTCGGTGCGGATGACACCAGGGTGAAGACTGTACACTGTCACACCGGTGTCTAATGAGAGAGAGAAGACCAGTCAGTGCATAAAACACCGCAAGGACACCATTAATGAAAAGAGAAAGAAACAAAATGGAACAAAAATAACTGACATGAATACGTCAGACTTAATTTAGGAAAATAAAAAACTGAGATGTGGTCAGGTGATTTCACCCCCCCATCAACTTAATCCTATATCCGAGCAATAATGATGACTTTCATCACATATTTTGGAACAAAAGGGTATTAATGAGACGCAACATGCATTGGACCCTACCCTGCAGTCTGGAGGCCAGTTCTCTGCAGAAGAGCACATTGGCCAGCTTGCTTTGCCTGTAGCTGTCATGGCGACTGTAGTCTTTATCAAGGTTGATGTCATCAAAGTGTATGCTGCCTGTAAGAAACAGTCCGCTGTAGTCCTTAACCAGAGATGACTGGCATGCAAGTTATTTCTGTTTTTTTACTTACCAAAATGTAATATTCCATGTGGAGCAAAATGCCATATATACAATTGTCACTATGTAGTAGATTTCATGAACAAAAAGCTTCGTCCGTACCTTTCTCGTGTGCCAGGCTGGAGACGATGACAATGCGACTTGGAGTTGACTTCTTCAGCAGGTCAAGAAGGCAGTTGGTGAGGAGAAAATGTCCCAAGTGGTTGACACCAAACTGCATTTCAAAGCCATCCTCCGTCTTCCACTTAGGACACATCATAATACCTAAAAGACAACAGATAAACGTAAAAATTCATATGTCGGTTGAAGCCAAACTGAAGACATATTTTGTCCACCTTATGGGATGCACTTGGTTTGAATAAAAGGTTGTTAAGAGCACTTATTCTGCCCCCTTTTTTATGCGTTAGTATTGTATTACTCTACATACAGTGAATTCAAAATACCTGCATTGTTGATGAGGATGTCCAAACGATCTTCATTCGCCTGGACATCTTTGGCCAGGTCTCTGACAGACTGCAGTGAGGCGAGGTCCAGCTTCTTCACCACCACGTTGCCGTTTCCACTCCGCTGTCGGATCTCGTCAGCTGCAATGCGGGCTCTGGTCATGTCTCTGCAGGCCAGGATCACTCTGGCTCCTTGACACAATACGGAGGAGTGTCAGTGTGTTTAAACAGGAATAGTGGGAGTAGCGATGAATTAGTCGTCGAGGTAGCAGGAAATGTATTTTGTCTAAAGACAGTGACAAGCACAAAACGACAAAAAACAACAACTGCGAACATTTCATAGGGGGTGAAGGTGTTACCTCGCTTGGCCATATCCAGGGCCGTCTCCTTCCCAATGCCAGTGTTGGCCCCCGTGATCAGCACGGTTTTCCCGTCCAGTCTGACCTTGCTCCAGCACACTCCTCCAGCCAGCCACTTGCGCAAGGCCATTATGCCTGCCCCTGACAGGAAAACACATTTTCACTTTATTTATTATAATCTCTGGAGAGAATAAATATATTCAACTCCTGCTCTGTTATTTAAGTTAAAGCTTGACAAGAGAGTAATACTATAAATTGTCTTAATGTTTGTGAAGTAGCTCACTAAGCTGTTTCTAGGAGCTATATACTTTTTATACATATAGTGCCTCTGTCAGGATGGAATAAACTGGTTCTTCTGCCTGAATGATGGGTTATGTGATTATTTTCAGCAGCTATTTTCGATCGCTTGCCCTTGTTCCGACATTTAAGAAAACTTACAACATACACAATATTAGTTATGATAAAAATGTATTTACCTGCAACAAAAGTAGCAGTGAGAATGGTCGCGTGCGTCTCTGCAAAGTGCCTGATTGTCTCTGCGTAGTTTTGCATATTTTAGCTTTAGCTTAGAAAATAAACAACTTAAATAATTGAAAGCTTTAGTATATATAATATCACTAATTGATGGTAAAATGGTCGGGTTTAGAAAAACAACGCGGTCGTCCTCAGATGGAACTACATCTGATACGATCACATTGCTTACTTAAGAAAACTATCTGTCCGGAAGTGGGAGCGTGGTCTTCCCCGTTGGGATTTTCGCAATAAGACTCTGGTTCGCTGTTTACTTCAGTTGTCTTGGCAACTGTTTGAAACATAAGCTGCTGCTTCTCGGGCTCTGTTCACAATAAAGATAAAATAGGTTGTAAGGAAGCAAAACTTCCTCCGTAGTGTTCACGTTTTCAGATTGAGAAATATATGTTTTTAAATAATGAGTGTGCTGCCTTGCTAAAACAAACTGACACTTATTTTGAAAAGTGAACTTCATGACAGTTGGTGCTCTGATTAGATCAGATAAACAGCACCGAGCGCAGTGTACATGCGACATAGAAATGTGGCGTTTCGGGGCCTTAACTAGTTTAAAAATAAATGTTCTCACGTTTAGTATCACCGTGTGTCTTTTTGACAACATTTTAGATTTGAAAACACCGGGCCTTTCAAATTTACTTGACCTAAAAAAAAAATAACTTGACCCGGAAGTTCTTCGTACTCGTGCCACGTCAGAGCTACGACTACTAATATATCACATATACACCGGCCGCTACACATCTATTACACACCTATTTTCTCTGCTCTCACGATGCTGTTTCTGGGATGGATCTGCCTGCTGCTGCACGTGTTTGTGGCGTTTGGGACCGAGCTCACCTTCGAGCTCTCCGACAACGAAAAGCAATGTTTTTTCGAGGACATTGAGAAAGACGTGAAGTTTGAAATTGACTTCCAAGTAAGTTACACTGAAACGCCTCGTCCCTTCCAAACGTCGACAAGATACTGAATGAGACGTATAGCCTACACATGTTAAGCTTGTCATTTGTTTTGTCAATCGCTCTAGTTCTTATTCCAAATGCTTCAGTTCAGGCAAGCTCATTCACGTTAACGCCACCTCGATTTTATCACACACCTAAACCTCTCATCGGTCTTTAATCTGTGTTTTGTCCTTTTCTTTTAGGTCATTGCGGGAGGCAACTATGACGTGGACTGCTTCGTGACCGGCCCTGAAAACAATCTGTTGTACAATGAGAAGAAGAAGCAGTATGACAGCTTCTCCCACACCGCCACCATGTCGGGAGTCTACAAGGTCTGCTTCGGAAACGAGTTCTCCACCTACACGCACAAAACGGTCTACCTGGACTTCCGCCATGGAGATGAGAAGCCTCTGGTGGAGACCATGGTCGGAACATCACCGCTGACTCAGGTGGGTCTGCTGCAGGGGAAACATTTGGGTTGATTCCTGTGTGTGTGTGTGTGTGTGTGTGTGTGTGTGGTTAAAGTGCACAGACAAAAACCACGCACTCGTCTTTTTTAGGCAGAATTTAAATACATATATTTCCTGCTGCTTGCTGATCATATTGGAGAGTTTTAGTTTCTGATTTTAATGACTTACTTACAGCAACTACTTCCTGGTAGGCGAGCACACAGAACACATACAGAGAAGAAGAAAGCTACAATCTGAACATCCACATCTAGAGTAAGAGCCAGGTTAAAGAGACACTGAGGGGTTGTTTTCTCTCTAACTGATTAGCTGTTTAGGCTGTGCTTGACCCTTTGCTGTTAGGAGGTTGTAACGTCCAGCAGGTGGAGCCAGAGCTGCCTTAACTTCAGTAAAAAGACAATTCATCCTCAGGGACATTGTGTTGCATTACTAATGCAAAGTTGGAAGAGTGCAAATATTAACGTGGAAGATGACAAGTATTGCCGTGCAGTGCAAATTCGCCACGGCTAAATCATATTTGCAAATACTTAAGCGTGTTCTCCATAATACCTGAAACACTCAGGTCTGTTAACTTTCAATTTGATTACACAAACTGGACTCAAACAACATTTTCATAACTAGTGCAGCCCCCCTCCCCCGCCCTCCTGTCTTCGTGGCCCTAGGTCTCTTCGTTCATCCGTGCTGACCTTTCTACTTCCAGATGGAGTCGTCTTGCGTCTCCATTCACGAGGTGCTGAAGGTGGTGGCCGACTCACAGACGTGGTACAGGCTGAGAGAGGCCCACGACCGCACGGGCGCCGAGCACCTCCACCAGCGGGTCACCTACTGGTCCATCGGAGAAACCGTTCTGCTGTTTGTCATCGGCGTCGGTCAAGTCATGATGCTCAGGAGCTTCTTCAGCGAGAAGAAGGGCTCCGTGGCCGCCGCTACTTAGTGTTTGTTTTCTTGATGTGCCGTCAGAGAGACGGGCGGAAGCTCGTCAATGTGAACACATTAGTGCGCCTGGAGATTAGCACGCGGCTTTCCGTATTTTCAGCAGACCTATTTGTTGAAAGGGATAGTTTGGGAAGACCTTTAAAAAAATGTATATATATTTTTCTTCCCCACCTAGTTTCATACAAACTTGTGGGTTCCCTTCATGTATCCTGATTTGTTCTTACGAAGCTGTTTCGGAAAAAAAACAACCATTATGCTTCTTTTGAAATTGAGATTGACACCTTGCACACATTATTTATTATGTTTTTTTTTGTGCAACACAGAGCAGGTTTAGTTGGATATGTCTGTTAGTAATTAAGACAGAGTTGGGTTATATTGGTTGCTTGGTAATTACACAAGATGTTATGGCAGTTGTGGTTGTTGCTGAATGTATGTTTACTTTTTTATGTTTAATTTATGTGTGAAAAAATATAAAATGTAAGAGCTCTGTCTCCCTCATTGTGTCGCATAAAAAGTGCCAAGAAATCTTAGTTTAATTTCCTACCAAATGAAAAGTTTACGTTTTTTTGTTAATTGGTCTGTTACGTACAAACCTGTTGCTGATTGAATGGATTCTCATTTTTCACTCTTGTGCTTTATAAATCCATGTTTTATAAAGAGATGTTTAATGAATACTGACCCACTTATTGTGGCTTTTCTTCAACAACAAAAAAATGTTTGCTGTCCTTCTGGTTTATCTGTCTCTTAATCTGGGAAACGAGTCGGCAGACTTAATATAATTGGGAAGAAAGCTGTTTTTGGTAAAGACGAATTAAAAACTGATGTGCAAAGATTTGTCCCAAGATAGTATCTTCCCTGCTGCATCATCGAATAGGCTGTGTTACATGCAGTCCCCAAATTTCACTGTGATGTACAAAGTGCCACAATTAATTCTCTTTCTAGTTTATTTCACACCTAATATTATTAGATCCTAATTACTTTGTGAAGGAATATAATATAATCAATAAAGTATTATCAGATATTAAGATAAAATGATTAATCTCAAGATGGGATCTCAGGATGGTAATTCAAATTATTGGCTTGCAATATTATGCCTACCGTATTGGTATTTTAAGTAGATTCTCTAGTAGACTACTTTATTAGAGAAACCTTTGGAATGCTTTCACTTTCACTTTTTAAGTATGTCTACGCTGTGGCATTGCTAGTTATAGTCAAATATTAAAGTACGCTTCTTATTCCTCCACCGACCATGTGAGCAAAGACCCAACTCCCACGGTCCATTTGCCTCATCTGCCGTCAGGCTAAAGACAAGAGGCAGAAGAATCAAAGCGAACTCGAACCCCAAATAAAATCGACCGGCGGCTCATCCAAGGCGCGTACTTCCTTCTGATTGGCCCGGAGCCGCTTCGGCCGGCCAATCAGGGCGAAGCGGGCCCTTTCCAAGCCGACGTGTGTGTTATGCGTTAACACCTGCGTCCCGGGGCCGGACAGCCAGCGGGCTTCACACACTATTGTGTTCCAGCGGACTTGTCACCATGTCGGGTTACCTCAGAGCTCTGACGTCAGCAGCCGCCGCCGCACGGTGCCGGCCCCCCGCTGTGCTCTCACCGGCCGCTGTCTGCTTCCGTCGACAGCAACAGAGGAACCGTGAGTCAGCCGTCGATTCAAATTCACACTCATTCGTGCTTTTTTTTCCCAGAGAGGGACAGTTTTGTATGACGAGCACTAATGGACACCGGTATCTGGCTGATTGACCATGTGCCGTCTCTGTTACGTAAGATCCCCAAAAAACAGACAAAGAAATGCCAAACTCAAGGCAGGACAGACAGTTAAAACGAAACAAGGAGAGCTGTATCGTGGTGAATGGGAGATTAAGTCGTTAGTTGTAAAAGTCTCCCAGGTGACCTTTGATGTGTTCAGCATAAACTGTGCACTGCAAACACAAAGTAGCTTTATGAAGCCTATTTGTATTTCTGCGTGGGAGTTGAAAGGCTTGCCAGGTAAAAGCTGCTGTCAAAGCAGTCATAATCTCCAGATCACAATGCCGTGCAGGTTGTTTAGTAACTGCATAACTATAGCATGAAGTCATAAAAAGGGACATAAAACCAAAAGCAGGTGTGTTTGCTGGCAGGTGATCAGACAGTGTCACAGGTCAGCAGACTGCAGGAAACGTTGGCGATATTCTCAAATGGAGCTTTCCATTCGCATGTGAGTTAAAGGTTCCTTCCAAAATTGCAAAAGTCCTGCTAAATGAAAGTTAAACAACCAAGCAGCAGTTTCGACTGAGAGGAACATAGGATTTTAATGTGTTTGTTCAGGGTCGACGTTCCAAGAAATTATTAGGATTACTTAGACCAAATGTGTCTGTTGATTCCCTGACTGTTTTTGTTGGTTTAAACACAAAAAACAAAGATAAAAAACGATAGTTGAAAGGTTTCTTTGTAACTTGATAAAACATAAATAGCTGAACTTTTCAGATGCCACAGGGCGCATCAAGGCGGCCCGGCCAGTGGTGGAGATGGACGGCGATGAGATGACTCGCATCATATGGGAGTTCATCAAAGAGAAGGTAAATCAAATGATTTGGACTGTTTGAAGAACATGTTGGTGTTCTTCGCTTGAGAGCAAATTCAAATGGCTTCAATGGGTTTTAATCGTCAGAAAGGGAGAAACATTTTTTTCAGTGGTTCCACTTCAGTGCTGTTGTCCTTATCCAAACAAAACATCTGCATCTCTTCGCGTGCAGCTCATCCTGCCACATGTGGACGTTGAGCTGAAGTACTTTGACCTGGGTCTGCCCTACCGGGACCAAACGGACGACCAGGTCACCATCGACTCCGCCGTGGCGACTAAGAAATACAATGTGGCTGTGAAGTGTGCCACCATCACCCCGGACGAGGACAGAGTCGAGGGTGAGTTCTTTCGGCATTGTGTTGGTTCCTACCAGTCTCTACTAATTGTTGTTATTGGTTCTGTAGGAGTTCTTAAATGGATTATTCAATTGGGTCTTCAAATGGTAAAAACTGGGTTTTTTTACCAGAGTTTAAGCTTAAGAAGATGTGGAAAAGTCCCAACGGAACCATTAGGAACATCTTAGGTGGCACTGTTTTCCGCGAGCCGATCCTCTGTAAGAACATCCCTCGCCTGGTTCCCGGATGGACACAAGGCATAACAATCGGCAGGCACGCTTTTGGCGACCAGGTAAGACGTGCAAATGTGCGTTCGGCTCTTTGCTAAAGATGCTAAGAAATGGCCCGTCTGACGGTTAATCTCACAGTACAGGGCCACAGACTTTGTTGTCGACCAGCCTGGCAAGTTCAAGATGGTGTTTGCCCCAGCCGATGGAAGCGTGCAGAAGGAGTGGGAGGTGTATGATTTTCCAGCTGGGGGCTGTGGGATGGGAATGTACAACACTGATGAGGTAAGGGAGGGCTTGCTCTTATGTTCAAATAGAATAAACTAATTAATGAGTATTTTCGGGGAAAAAATCGGATTTTCTATATGTTTCAAATCTATATGTTTTGATATTATTCATTTTTGTTTTGCCAGTCCATCACTGGATTTGCTCACAGCTGCTTCCAGTATGCCATCCAGAAAAGATGGCCTCTGTATATGAGCACCAAAAACACCATCCTCAAGGCCTACGACGGGCGCTTCAAAGACATCTTCCAGGACATCTACGAGAGGTAATATTTCCGACCTCATTTTGGGTTGTTCTATGACGTTGCCCTTGTCATGTGGTGTCGCAGATTTTCATGTGTGACGGTCCACGAGTGTCCCTCTGACACGGAGACCTGAGGATTATTCCATCTTTTTCAGGGAGTACAAGCCAGAGTTTGACAAGCTGAAGATCTGGTACGAGCACCGTCTCATTGACGACATGGTGGCCCAGGTCCTCAAGTCTTCCGGAGGGTTTGTTTGGGCCTGCAAGAATTACGACGGAGATGTGCAGTCGGACATTCTGGCTCAGGGTCAGCGCGCCTTCCCTTTGGATGAGAGTTGTTTCATTGCTCAGCGAAGGCCACGGCCTGAAGGTTCGTGACGCACGCTTTGTCTTGGGTTGTGTCCAGGTTTTGGTTCTCTAGGTCTCATGACATCAGTGCTAGTGTGCCCTGACGGAAAGACCATCGAGGCTGAGGCTGCCCACGGCACAGTGACCCGGCACTACCGCGAACACCAGAGGGTGAGAACCGCCGGGGCCACGCCAGGCTGGGACTGTGTATAAGGTTTAAGGTTCTAATCAAAGTGGAGATTCTTTTTTTATTATCAGCATTCAATTGCTGTTGATTTGAGTCGTTGTTATTTCACTCAGTTGGGTGAAGTGTGAAAGTGGGCATGAATATATTTTAATTCTTTGTTAAAAAAAATCAGTGAACATTGAGTCAACATGCTTGTTGAAACAAAATTAACAGCATTTCTGTCTGGTGAGTGTTAACAGGTTAAGTCATTTTGTGATATTCCGCATAGGTGATCAAGGTCATTAATAGTTTATACTGATGCAGATTATGTGGGAAGTTCTTTAGAAGAACACAAGGCACGTTGGCGTTTTTTGTACCTAAACCTGACTCTGTCCTCGCCCGTGTAAGGGGCGACCAACCAGCACCAACCCCATCGCCAGCATCTTCGCTTGGACCAGAGGACTGGAGCACAGAGGCAAACTGGATGGAAATCCTGATTTGATAAAGTGCGTTGTTGTAATGTAATATCCCCATGCAGCTCATTTCACGGCCTGACAATGTGTCACTCTGCCGTTTGTTCTCTCCAGGTTCTGCCAGACGTTGGAACAGGTCTGTGTGACAACTGTGGAAAACGGCGTGATGACCAAGGACCTTGCAGGCTGCATCCACGGCTTGGCCAAGTGAGTTCCCATTATCAGGTCCCTCCGTAATACTAAGTGCGTGTAGTGTGTGTGTGTGTGTGTGTGTGTGTGTGTGTGTGTGTGTGTGGTCTGCAACCGTTACCAATGTTTAAACATAAAGACAGATGTTATAATTCATTTCAAATTAAACCTCTGCACTTGTCCTGCAGCTGCAAGCTGGATGAACATTATGTGAACACGTTGGACTTCCTTGACGCCATCAGGACCAACTTGGACAAAGTTCTGAACAAATGAAAAGTAATATGAGGACACACTTGCCGACGTGGATTGTAGATTTCCGACGCTTTTTATCCTTTTGCTTCTATAAATCTTTGAATTATGTTTTGAAGGAAACAACTTTACGTGACATTTTTGTGTTTGTATAGTTCACTCACACTGCTCATGCCAAATGTTCAGCCATGCGGTGCAGTTTAAGGTCATACTGTTTGAATCGTTATTAATTGATGTTAACATTATGTTACGTTTAAATACTGTTGTTTTCTATTGTATAATCAGCATGAATATATAAAAAAAAATGAATGGAGAGAAAAACCTGCAGTTTATCGAGTCATTTTGTTCATATCTTCTTCTCAGCAATACCTTTCCGTGCTGTTTAACCCAATAACAGATAAAACGCACAATTATTATGTGGGCGGTTGGATGAATTTTCCCAACCATCGAACATCATGTGCCATGATGACACTCACCACTTGGATTAGTTAGTCAGATTGAGGGGTTTTAATTAAATGTAAAAGGTGACAGAAAATTTTAGCTTCAGCTAATTAAAGTACTTTTCGGTTTTTGAGCTGTCAGAATGGAAATGGAAAGAATCTGTGTCACCAGTGGTCAGCGCTGAGCCAGATTAAAAAGGTTTGGCTAATGCGTTTACAGGAGAACACCAGCAGATGTCGACATGGTCAGCCACCCAGTCGTGTGGCTTCATTGTGTCACCTTAATGGACGCAACGGTGGTTTCAACTTTACATCTGAAAATCTATTCCGGCGTCTGCGGATCGTTATTAAAGTGCAGAACTCACTTCACACAACAGCTTTATTTTTTTGCAATCGCCAATACTGCAGGTATAAGTTACAGTAGTCGACCACTGAAGCTCAGCAGGTCGGTACTTGATTCTAAATTCTATATAAGGCAATAACGGTCCCTGCACACTGGAATCAATACTCCCTTCAAATTGTATTGGCAACGTTTGTCTCCACAAGATGGAGATAAGGGATCACATTCATATGAATGTTATTACACAATGTTGCTACTGGCTGTCTTGCTAAGTAGTTCAAATCCCTTCATTTTCCTCCACCGGCACTTGTTAGTCACTGGTTTTATTTCCAAATCGACATCTCTAGCACCATCAGTCCGGCTAAAAATAGCCGACTGAGGATAATCCCCTCCAGAAACAAAAAAAGACAGATTAAAAACACAAGTCTCCATCATTAAACTAGAGAACCTTTATTAAATAATTCATGGTAAACTTCCATGAGGTCTCAGTTTGATATTCCTCATCTGAAAAGAAGAACTAGTAGAGTGTCCCTCCGGTTTAGTGTGCATATCAGGGCTGACCTGCATGGCAGGACAGGGGGAGCTGAGCGTCTTCCCCAAAACAACATGATGAGTAACAGAACTAGTGTCAGTCCACTTTCAATTCAAGCCACACAAAATGCAATCCGGAGCTCCCAAGAAGCTTTTTCTTATCTCCAATCTACCGACGGGATTTGACACCCGCTGTGTTTTGTTTGAGTGGGGAAATACGTTTCTGAAGTGAATTGAAAGTGAAGTGAAAACCGGCCCGAATTGAAGAGTGCTGAAACTACAAACAAGAGAAAACGCATACTGCTGATTCTCCTCATAATCTGCTCATTCTTCAATTCAATTCAATGACACCGTGAAATATCCGCATTGAGGAAACTGCAGTTTACAACAAAAAAAAAACTACTAAGAAAGCACATCTGTTTGTGTTTAATAATATTGCCGTTAAGGGGGTTTGGAGAATCGTATTGTCTTATTTCCCACCGCTTTTCTCCTTAAGTAAAATGAGTTCACTGTTTTTGCCGGTCTTGATGAAAAAGGGCTTGAGGTTGTTCACTCGGTAGTTTGAAGCCGTGCATTCGCCACACGGGAGAGATTATCCATGTTAAGCTAAACCATGTGAGTCAAAAAAGGGCGCTGTCTGTTACAGAACCCAATCGCCTGCACAGCGACGTGTGCTCACATCGTACTCGGGCATCAGCTGACGCGGCGCAGGAGCCGCTTTGGGTGGTAAGACGAAAGCTACAGTGTCCTGTGCAGAAAGCATGCACGCATGGAAAAGGGGCCACCTGTTCAACACTGAGGGCTGGGAAGGAATGGGTGACTACAATAAGGAACCTTTTAGTAAGAGCATTCAAACCTATGAATATGTTGTGACTATGTATCAAAAAGTTCTATATTCAGTGAGCAAAGAGCCTGCGTCGAGGAAGCTTAGTTGCGGATGTTTCCAGCTGGCACTTTCAGACAAAAATATAAAAGGTCATACGTTGGCTGTGAATGACAAAACTGGCAAAATGGTCGAATGTAACTGATGGCTCTGAAACTTTTTTTCTTTTCTTTTGTTTTTTTTCCTCAAATAAGTGATACGTACACACAACAGACAACTTCCACTGTCCGCCAGCATGAGTCTTTGAGTCGCTCAGCGTAGTGATCCCCAGAAACCAGGAGCTGCGGACCAGCGTCCTCTGCCGTCACAGTCGCATCGTCTCCTGTGAAGTGCGTCTCCTTGCTGACCTCCTGTCAGAGGCCCTTCAGTTCGGCCTCTTCTGGAAAGGAGGCCGTACCCAAATGAAATCCTCGTTCCCGGTGTCCCCCAAAGCTTTGATAACAACTGCGTAATTTCCTTCTGCCTTCAAAAAAAAAAAAAGAAAAACCCAAAGCGTGTCCTCCGGTTGATCAGCGCTCACGGTGTCGTGTAGCTGCTTGTATCCTTCCCGAAATTGTAATACTCCTCCATGTCCTCTATGTTTGCCGTCGTGAGTTTAGTGAGGTTCTGGGAGCCGCCATTGTCCATATTGTCTTGTGAGGTAAAGCCGAAGTTCTGTCCTTCATACTCCCCCTGGCCGTCCATTTCTGGAAGAACTTCTGAAAAAAGAAAGAAACATTATAAAGTGAATTTCTGAAGCGATCGTTTTCCCTTATACAAGGTTTGATCAGTGGCACCACGGTGAAGATGTTCATCGGCGTAAAAAAACTCATATATTACTGTCCTGTTAGAAGCTTTGGGCTCTTGCATCGAATTAAAAACATACGGAATTATTAATTACTGACTTTTGTCAAAGCCGTTAAAATTGTTATCTCAAATCCTAAATCATCCTCTTTACTGCTGGATATGTATGATTAAAAAGAAAAAGCAATAATCCCTTTGTCATATCAATTTAGTTCAACGCTGGCTTCATTGGAACAGCGGGTGTGAGAATAGATCATGTCTGATTAATAATGACCCAGCACCAAAAGATTCATCAACCCGTCATCAGATTACTCTTTTTGTCCACCTCCAACTAGTGAGATGTTCATAAAGGAGAAAAAAAGAGAAACAGAAATCTCTCACGTTTAGCAGAAAGTCGTGCGGTCATGTAGGATTGCATCAAACGTAAGACGTTGATCGAAACATTCCTGCATGTTGCAGCAATTGTAAAACTATTACATTTATGAATTAAACTTTGCCTTATGTGGACAACAAAATAAAACTAAATAGAGCCTTTAGTATTATTGTTGCCTGTATAAAAAAAAGAATCACTGAAGAATTACATCAGTGATTAATCCACTCTTTTGATCAAATAATAAGTTTAGTCTTTTTGCATATCTGATATAAAGATAATGAGCACGACGGGGTCCAACGATATGGAACGTTCCGTCACCATCAAAGCCAAACAAGGAGGTCACTTGTGAGAACTGTGGACTGAAGAGCAGCACTTGCATACAATGGACCTTCACCGGATAAAAACCAGTTAAAGAACTCGTGTGACATCACGAGCGGCACGCTACCTTGTCCTTCCGGTGAGACGTCCATTCCGTGCTTGACCTTCATGTGCCTGCTGAGGTTCCCCTTCAGGTTGAACTTGCTGGTGCAGTACGGACACTTGAAGGGCTTGCTGCCGGCGTGGAGATGCATGTGGCCCAGCAGGTTGTACATTCTGTTGAAAGACTTGCCGCACACCTGCAGAAGAGAATGCATCATAGCACATCATTTCACAATGAGATGAATTAGAAGATCCTTCACTCCCCCCAGAATAGGACTTCAAACACTCACCTTGCACTTGAATGGCTTCACGGGCAGGTGGACGATCATGTGGGTCTTGAGGGTCTGTTTCTGGATGAAGCTCTTAAAGCAGACGTGGCACTGGAAGGGTCTGACGCTGTTGTGGATGAGCATGTGCCTCTTCAGGTTGGCGGACAGGGTAAACTCCCGCGAACACACGTCACACTTGTGTCCTTTCATCCCCTGACGGAGTCCAGAACAAAAGGGGTCGATCATTCAAATGCAGCATACTGTCAAATCCTTAACTACCGAATGACGCAATAAGTGTGAGAAAATGTGAAAAAAGGAGGCTAAAATAGTTGTAGCCTACTGCGTTACTCACTGACTTCATGGCATAATACTTCATTTACATCACCCATGGCATTATGGGAGCTGTAGTTCCAAAACATTGAGACGATTACCTCTTTTTATTGAATGTCAGATCAACAACTGCCGATGCAAACTATTCATTGGAATAGTTTTGAAAGGACTACGGTCTGTTTGTCTGGGAGGTTGTTTTGGTGACGTCATGACATTCACATCCTGCCTGTGACATGTGGCCCATTTGACCAAATCAAAATCCACGGCAGCCATTTTGGATGTAACAAAAAGAGATTACTACAGTACGGGGGAGGAAAAAACCCTTGCCGCCAGTCTTGCGTCTGTTCCAGTAACATCCTCAACCACGTGCGACAGGAAATGTGGAGTCATCGAGAAGCAGGTCACACTGAGACAATTCACAACATCCAGGGCCTGGAGGCTCGTCTAAATGAACGTGCTGCTGCATTACACACTTCACTCTGCAGTCGGTCTCCGCAGACAAACAAGGGAGCCTGAGTAACTGCTTTCTGGTCTAATGAGAAGGACTAATATGTACTTAAAAGGTTGCCAGCGGGTTGAGAGACTGCGGCCGGATCCTGCAGACGGTCTCGGCCTGCACAGCGAGTGTGTGGCGCTGCGGTTGTCCACCAGGGGGAGCAGTGAACAGACAGCCGGCCCAAAAGTACAAAAGAACATTCTCTCTACTGAGAACACTGACTGCTCTCTCATTTCCATGATGAGTGTGTGGCTTAAGGTTATTGTTCCCCTGAAAGTAATCAAATTTAGGTAAATCCTCAGGAATCCAGCATTTAAACTCCACTGCTGCATGAAGTAAAAGTCTGACAAATTGAGAAGAGAAAAAGAAATGTCAGAACCTCACATGTAGCGACTAATCGAGTCCTCAAACTGAGGGTCCAGTGGTGAGATCACTCACCACTGGACTCTCACTCTTGGTGAGATCACTCTTCCCCGCCTGTGTGTGTGTGTGTGTGTGTGTGTGTGTGTCTGTGTGTGTATGTGAGCGAGTAGTCAGGGGCCGCTGAGCACATTACAGACATTTCAGTATTGTTGTAGATGTTCCCAATCAGTCTGTCTGACAGCCATGTCCATACTTATTTTCATTTGCTTGATTGAAACGTATTTTTAAGTGAAAGTAATCTATTTTGTTCTGTCCTTGTCTTTGTTGCTAACATAAATAATAATTTTTTAAAGCTGGAAACGCATCCTGGAGCTTGAATAGAGAACTGCTGATTGACGTGACGGGTGATTGCATGCAAAAAAAAAATGGTCAAAAAAAACCCGTTTTGTTCTTGTTACTTCTATTCTGACCTTCAGAAATGCCAAAGCGGTTTTAGTCAAAAGGACAGCGAAAGGATGCCTGCCAGGGGAGGTGGTCTTACCGGTCTACAGACCTCACTGGGTGAAGAACAGACGATGAGCGGAGGTGTGCTAGCCTCCTAAAAATTTTGACTAAAATCCGACAGCATTATGCTTTCTACTCTTGTTATTCTTTCCACATGACAAACGAAAAAACCTTAAGGGACTAATAAATACCGGGGTCAAATCTATGGTCCGGATGGGAGCGTCGGTACCTTGTGAGTGAGCGAGTGCTGACGCAGGTGGTGGAGCTGCACAAACTCCAGGCCGCACTGGGAGCAGGTGTAGGGCCTCGGGCTCTGGTGCTTCAGCAGGTGGTTCTGGAGCTGGCTGCGGTAGGCGAACGACTTGTTGCACTCGGTGCACTGGAAGGTGTGCGGGCCCTGGTGGCTGGTCTGGTGGCGTTTGAGGTGCGCGTAGGTGGGGAACTCCATGCCGCACTGGGAGCACACGTGGCAGCGGCCGCGCTCGTGCTTCACCTCGTGGGCTCGCAGCTCGCTGGGGTAGGCGAAGCCGCGGCGGCAGAAGCGGCAGCTGTAGGGCTTCACGTCGGTGTGCTGGAGCATGTGCCGCTTCAGGTGGCTGGTCTGGGTGAAGCCCTTCTTGCAGACGGTGCACTTGTGGGGTCGCGTGCCTTGGTGGGTCAGCAGGTGGGTTTGAAGGTGACTGGGCTGCTTGAAGAGCTTCCCGCAGTGGGGACAGGCGTGCGGCTTGATGCCGTTGTGGCCCAGGATGTGCGTGACCAGGTTGTACTTGGAGGTGTACGACTTGTCGCACATGCGGCACTTCCAGCGCTTCAGGCCGTCGCCCACGTCCACGCAGTACGATTCGTCAATCTGGATGTTGATGTCAAGCCGGTCCACCCTGCGGCCGCCGTGCCGGCGGGGAGGCTGGGGGTGCGGAGGCTGCTGGTGCTGCGCCCCGGCGTTCCCGTCCGTCCACATCATATTCTGGCTGCTGTCTTCGTACTCGCCCGCCATGCCCATTTCCGCCGAGTCGTAGCTGCCCACTTCGCTGGTCTGGAAGTAGCTGCTGATGGCTTCCTCCTGCTGCGTGGGCTTCATCATGTTGTTCCCCTGGTGGTCTACCTCCTCGTCCTCCTCCCTGCCACCTCGGCCGTGGCCCCCCATGGGGCGCTGGCCTTGCAGTCCTCGGTGGCCCTGCTCCCCGCCTCGGTGACCGACCTGTGGGGGCGGAGGGTGAACGTGCGCGTTGGCTTGCGGCTGGCTGGTGGCTTCCCGCTCACACTCTGCACAGTTCTTGTTGGCGCTCCTGAGAGTGGCTGGATCCACTTGCACTAAACCACCTCTGGGAGCCAAATTGTTAAGCATGTGGACACAGGAGGGCATTCCAGAGTTCACCACTTCCCCTTTCACGTGGGAAGAGGACACGTCACCGCCTTGAAGGCCGTGACGATCGGGGCCGACCATTTTTGTGTCCGGATGTTGAGGGGGCCCCTGCTGCCACCTCCTCTGACTGCAGCTGGGTTGCATCTGTCCGTCTTCGCCCAAGTTGTCTCCGAGGTAATCTCCGTTGGCTCCGATGAGCTGGTCTGCGTACTCGTAGTCAACTCCGTCTACTTGGGGTGCGGGGGACTCTTTGGGTTCGCCGGTGTAGAAGCCGTTGGGTGCGATGGTAGCGCCGAACACTTCATTCTGGGAGATGAGACCTAGCACGGCAGCCTGGGCCAGGGACAGCACGACTACTGGATCTGTCTGTGTGCCTATGTCCACCAGCCTGGCCATTACCTTGGGCTCACATCTACCCAGGCGCCGGCTCGCCTCCTCCTGGAATAGAAAGAGATGCACAGGCACAGACATTAGCACTGCGAGGAAGCAATTACCAAATATATGCTGAGATGTGGTCAGAAAACTCAGTTTATCATGACTAATTCTACTCGGCAATATCGTTTAAAGAAAGCTCTGTTTGTTCTGTGAACTATATGCCGAGATGCTTAGAAAACAATTGAGAACACAACATAGAGATAAATTGAAAGAGCACTTGTCAATGCAGGAACCTCGGGCTGCAACCAAATGGTCTGCATTCTAAACTATTAAGCATGAGACAAACTACAGAACACTGTTCTCAGGTGAGAGCATGTCCTTCATTGACACATTAGCCGTTCATCGAGCTCGATGGGAGAAAGAAAGAGGATTTTTTATGTCAGTGACCCCTTTTGTGAGTTTCTATTAAGGACACACAAAAAACCTTTCCTCCTACAGAGACAACCTCATCACAAATCCATTTTTCCGGGATCAGAAGTCAAGCAAAGGCAAATCTTTAGATCTAGCGATAGATCCAGGGGCCGTGTGCCTGTGTGTGTTATGAGGAATAAGATGGCCTATCGATCTACACACAAACACACATTCAAGCACATGAGAGGGAGAAAGGGGAAGACAAAACTCAGCAAGATTAAGACATTTTTTATAGAATGGAAAAGCAGCAGAGGAGACAACAACAGAGGGAACAGGGGGGGGGGGGAGCAGAGAGAGACAGAGAGAGAGAGAGACAGAGATTAGAGCATGCAAGTCTGGCGAGGGAGGGGGGAGAAGGGAAAAAAGGAAAGGTAGAGGGAGAGTGAAGGAGAGATAAGGAAAATAGGGGAGGGGAGGAGGGAGGCTGAGAGAGAGGGAGAGACTGGAGAGGGAGGGGGAGAGCTGAGTGAAAGAGTGAGAGGGTGAGTCTAAGGCAGCAGTCAAAAGAGAGCAAGAGGAAGAAAGAGAAAGAAGGATATGTGGAGACAGAGGGAGGGAGGGAGATGAGGGAGGGAGGGAGGGAGATGCAGTGAGCAACCAGGAGACAGATAGAGAAAGAAAATGACAAAATGAAAGCCAGACAGAATGAAAGATAAGAAAAAAAACACATTTGAAGTGGAAACAGAGCCGGCGACAGAAAGACAGGTACGAGGAAGAGTTGAAAACCACTCAAAAGAGGGCGAGCGGAGTTAATGCCAGACGCCAAGTCTCCATGTGTGCAACAAACAACAAAATCTGCAAATGGCAACTTTAAAAACAAAGAAAACCTACCAAGAATCAACGCATCCCTGAAGGCATCTTTCTACCTGCCTGTCAGTGGGATCAAGCCATGTTGCCCAGCGCTTGAGTAAACTACCTCTTAATATGCTACGAGTGAGAGCCAATGAACTCACCACGCTCCTCCTGCTGTGAGGTTTCAGGTGCTTTAAGGATCTCATTCTCCGGTGCGAGTGCGTTGAGTGAGAACGGGCTACGTTCTCTTCCTTCTTTATACGTGAGGGATGAGGGGAGGCGGGGCTAGTGTGGCCTGCCTCCAGCCCTCTTCTTCTCAACACAGTTTGGGGTAGTGACTCTGGTCACACCATCACAAACACAGACTGGACAAACAAATCGGTTGTGGCCAGTGGATTTTAAACAAACAAACAAACAAACAAAAAGCACGGCTCGGATATCACTGCCTCGCGCGAGGCTCCTCGATACTGATGATAAATGGTCAAAGCCACAAGACACACACACACACAACAACGTAAAATCAACATCATATCAGTCTGAAATGATGGATCCCGCCTCCCTCTCTCCGGCTGTCCTTCTCGGTCTTTGTTTCTGCCTATCCCTGCCAGGCTCTTTATTCTCCATCTATTGCCGAGTCCTTTCCTGTGTTTCCTCTACGCATCTCTCTCTCTCTGCGCCTTTATATCCTTCACTCCTTCATTTATCAAGTAGGGTTAATGAGTATGAAAAAGTGGTCTGTCCGGACTTGGATGCATGCAAGTATGTTGTATAGGGGGGGGAGGAAGACGAGAGAGAGAGAGGGAGAGAGGTTGACTGACAAGAAGATGAGCAAATGGATGAGAGAGAGAGAGATGATGGTGAAAGGGAGGAAGAGGGAGTGGAAGGACAGAATACTGAAGGAAAAGAGAGGGGAGGGCTGGAGGGGAGACAGAAAGAGAGAAAAATAGAGAGGGGGATGGGAAAAGTAGAGCAGAATGCGGTAAAAGAATAAGAAATGGAAGATAGAGGGAGCGAAAAAGGATAGAATGAGAGTAAAGGGGGAGAATGAAAAGGTGCTGCGCTTATTTTTTTTTACAATTAAGTGAGCAAACAAGCAAATGTATCCCTCTCTCCTCAAAAAATAAACACAAGCGCATGCAGTCTCTCCAAAGCGTTAAGAACTTTTAGCCACCGGCAAAATTAGGGGATCGTGGAGAGATGAGACGGTGCCAAAGGTCACGCGCATCCTGCCCTCGATGACACAGACGGAACAGAAGCCTGCGAAACATGGAGGCAGACGAGCGAACCAAACCCTCCCAAGAAATGTATGACGGTACGTTAAACACACACAGCCATTGGCGCACTTTCAAACAAAGTTGGTGTCAACACGCGAGAGGACAAATAGGACAACCCAACGCCTCACTTCTCCTGCTGCGCTTTCCTGGGACAGCGTCGAGGGTGACGTTGCATGCAAGTAAGAGTGAGACTATCTCCGCTTTTTGAACCGTCATGCATCCTCCCACGTCACACGCAGTGCTGCAGTCGGAGCGCTCCGTTTCTGATTGCAGTGGGAGGCCAGTTTAAACAGCCCAGTTTAAAATGCACCCAGACAGATATGTTCTTCTTTAGCATCGCTGCTTTTCCAGTTACACGTCTCCATGGCTCTCATGGGAGACGCAGTGAAACACTTTGACCCCCACAGTCAAGGAAGAACCGGCGAATGTACAAATGAACAGACGCAGGTCGTGCCTTTGAGGAAACCCATGATAAACTTGTAGTCTAGGAAGCAACTGTATGTTTAATTCACGGGACAAGTTAAGTCTGCTTTGTTAGAATTAGAGTGAACAACCATCCGTTGCCTTAATGATTTGGAATAATTTATCCAAAATTGACCAAAGATGTTTCATAAACAAAAATGTGTATTTAATTACTTGAGAATATATTCAACATTTTTTATTTGTCATGCTTTCTACTTTTAAGAGTCGAGACGAGTGACGATGTCTTCGCTTCCATGTTTTACAAAATCTACAAAATCAAACTCTCAGATAGTCACATCTCTCTCTCTCTCTCTCTCTCTCTCTCTCTCTCTCTCTCTCTCTCTCTCTCTCGGGTTGCCACCACTTCCTGTCGATCACAAGCCAGACAAGCACAACGGTGCTTTCCCCTGCATTTATTCCGTTCCGAATAAAGTTTTACTCTATTTACCTTGTGATAAAGTTGAAGTGAAGATAGCATGGAAATTAAACCAATACCGTTTTTTTAATTGGCCTTTTGCCCTGTTTAACTTTAAACTCCCAATTGTATCTTAAATCATTTATAGTTTTGCTTCCCTTTTTTTTGGAAAAAGGTTTTTCTATTTTCTAGCACTTCTTTCATCAGTCACATTTTCCCACTGATAAAATGAAATGGAATAGGGAAGTGAAACCTGACTAAACGTAATTTGATGTCTGTCTCGGCTGGATCCAGACTCCTTCTGGTTAAAGACCAAAACATGAAGGTGGTCCAGGACAATGTGGTCCAGGACAATGTGGTCCAGACTGTGCAAACGATGCAACTTCTGATTCAAGTCGTAAGGCATCTCGCCGTGGCCACGTTTGGATATATAATGGTTAAGAACAACAATTGGCAAAACATTGGCTCCAGCATTGGAAATGTGAGGATTTGCTGCATATTTATGAGAATTTTTAAATGTTTGGTTTGTTATGATAAGTAAAAAGTAGAGAAACTGGGCTCAATGCATTTTGGACAACGTTTGCCCAGATATATGCTCACAGTTGTAACACAAGTAACACTTTCCTCCATGTTTATTATGTGCACAGGTCTGTAGCTTTGCAGACCTGTGCACATTTGCTCCCTTTGCAACAACCTGCAAACCTAGTTAGCATTTTAACGCTTCCGGTCCCCTCGTCTCGACATTCTTCCAGGAAACCAGTAGGACGCTGACCTCCGGAGTTGGCCTACGGAGAAACGTCGAACCTGCTGCTCTCCATTGTATTGAAGGAACTTCACACCAGCAACACATCTGGACCTGCAGTAAAACCTCAGCAAACTACGGCAACTGTGCAGGAGGAGCCGCTTGGTGCTTGAGGTATCGCCCCTGTTGACCTGCGACCTGGTGCATCTACTTTACAGTCTCCTGTGAGGACGATTACTGTCACTTGCGGTTGTTTTGTTGGCCACTTGTTGAACATTGACAAATACCAGCAAACGGGGGCCTATTGCAGCCAGATGTATTGAACAACATGGGAGAGTAAATAGCAGCACAGAATGTAGTGATGGCGAGAGAAGCTTTTGATCAAGACAGCTTTCGTCATAGAATTCAAATGGTTTCAAACATGTTTTTTCTGTCATAGAAAATATTTCTTAAATAAAGTTTGTGACATAAATGCCACGGGGGAGTGTGGTAAACAACAGGATAGAGAGAACATGGAGGAAAGAGAGAGAAAGGGAAATGGCAGAGGACAAAATGGGGGCGTAATAGAGGCAGCAGAGAGAGAGAGAACAGATGATTGCACGGAATGAAAGAGGGATTGAAGGGAGAGGGAGGGGAGGAGATAAAGAGAACAGCGAGGGGAGGGCGAGTCAGTGAGCGAGTGAGAAAGGGGAGAGAGAAAATGAGAGGCAGCAGTTGGGGGAGGGGATGATGTAGAGGGAGAGCGAGAGGAGCAAGAGAAAGAGAGAGAGAGAGAGACAGAAAAGATGGAAAAAAGGAAAGGGTGGGAGAGCGAGAGAGATGGAGCGGGGAGCAACGTGAGAGCAAGACAGAGAGAGGGAGGGAGGGAGGGAGGGGCGTTGTGCAACGTGAGAGAGGGAGAGAGAGAGAGAGACGGAGGGGAGGGAGGGGAATAGCATGATGGTAACCGAGAGCTAGAGAGAAATAAAATGAGAGAGAGAAGGAGGAAGGGAGGGAGAATGAAAGAGGGAGAGCAGAGGAACAGAGAGGGAGGGGGAGGGGAAGAGAGCTGGAGAGAGAAAAACAGAAAGAGTGAGCAGAAAGAAGAAAAAAAATAGGGAGTGAGCGAGGGAGAAAGAGCGCACGAAAAGAACCCATTCGGCTTTATTTTGTGGTTTCACAAACATGGCCGCTCCAGCGAGTGAAGAAGAGGAAGAAGAGGAAGAAGGGCATTGCTGGTTAAAGTCCTCTCTGTGTCACACCGACACCAACCGGTAACATTACAAGCGACCGGCATCAGATGTAATCACCCATGTCAATCACTGGGCGGTGAAAACAGCTGCGTTCAGGTGTATTGTGACGTGGTCCTTCCTGAAAAAAGGCCAAATTTGATCCTTCTCAACTGCTAAAATGCTAAATAGTGGAGGACAAAAGGAATATACATGTGTAAATCAACACAACTGTTTTCTATATTTGTTTACATTTGGGCCATATGACAAACTAGCCATTAGCAGTTCATGTTTGCCATGTACTTATTCATGGATTAACTGGATTATGTTCAACGGAAAACATAAAAACGTGATGGTTCTCGGTTTTGAAATAATAGGGAGCATCTTGGAGCTACAACTGTTGCATGATACGAACAGATTTATGGATGTTTATTTAGGGATGAACATCAGAGATAATGGATATGCTTGTAAAAAGCGGTGGACAAACTTTTCCTTCATAATCCAGTGCTCTGATTGTTACATTCATTCAGTCATTGCAGGTCAGTTTTAACAGCACCGCGGAATCAATTCTGTAATCCCTCAATTTAAGTTCCTCATCAAAAATATTACAACACTAAAAGGTGAGTGAAAACGATGTACTCTGGAAACATCGGCCGATTAAGTGCAGGGACACGTCGGTGACATTAAAACACTTGGACAGAAGACAGAGTTCAGCTCTACTGGGTAATAACCCAGATTTAAGGCAGTGCTGATGACGTTCTTGAGGAATACAATATAACATATTTACAAAGAACTGTCCTTTGGGGGAAAAGTGTGCGTTAGTTGTAGGCCTGGGCGGGGCTGCCATAACAAGCTAACAGCTAACTAGCTAACGAGCTAACTCGCCGGCCAGTTGCGAGCAAGTTGTTCGGGTAGCCGGCGTCCTTTTCAGGGTCAATGAATTAATGTGACTTGAAAAAGCGATACCGTGACATACCGGGATACCGTCAGCATCTTTCTAAATACCGTGATATGGATTTTTGGCCATGCCGTCCAGCCCTGGTCAGCTGTCTCGCCTTTGCTCTCCTTAAAAGTGACTTATGAGCCACACATTCAAACGCTGTTTAACATCCATCCAAACCCAACAGCATTTCTCCATCAGTTCAAGATGTAATGTCTTTCCTCACCATGTTTCATGGCATGATAAAATATCAAGGCACAAAGCTCTCAACCCACTTCAGAGACAAATAAAGATGGATGCTGCTGTGGGCCCCTCATTTTGTTCGAGTGGTTTAAAGGTTTCAAACTACATCACTCTCTTCGCTCTGTCTGTCCTCATGTTGCCATGGATACGTCTCCTTCTCCAATAATCTCTCTCTTTCCTCACTTTTTTTGTCACTTCCTTCTTAACATCTAGTAGATCCCGACTCCTTCCTTCCATCCTCGCTTTTTTTATAGCTATAACAGGATGTCACTGTCTCCTCCCTTGAGAAAACACAAAAGAAAAAACAATAATTTTCTTCAGAAAACAAGATGAATGTTCTGGTATAATATTGATCCCTGTGGGAAATCTTTTTTCATTTGTTCTTCGGATATCAGCCAAACAACACCACACGCCAGAGACGAGGGGCAGATTTCGGGCCTGGCTCAAGGGCACTTTAGCAGGGCAGCATCTCCTTTTTTTTCCCTTTTCAAATGGAGATTTAAATATTCCCACTTGAACACTGGCTTTTGTAACCCCACAGTAGA